CAGGCCCTCCACCCTCCATCAACGTGAGGCACCTCTGGGTGTCTTGTAAGAAAATGCATTTTCCAGTAGCTCAGTTGATGGCTGCCAGACTAATGCCACCCATGTGATCTCTCCGACCAGGACTGCAGCCCACTTCTAGGGCTTTCATACTTGTGTCATTCCAGAGAGAAACCCTGGCAGACAGCCTTGGTGCGACGCTTTTGGCTTGAAGCCACCCTGATTGAATTAGTATTTTTGTTTTGTTTTGTTTTGTTGTTTTTGTTTTGGTGCCAGTCCTGGAGACTTGAATTAAGGCCTGAGTACTTCACCTGAGCTTCTTTTGTTCAAAGCTAGCCCTCTACTACTTGAACCACAACTCTACTCCTGGCTTTTTTGGTAGTTATTTGTAGGTAAGAGTCCCACGGACTTTCCTGCTCAGGCTGGCTTTGAACTCCCATCCTCAGCCTCCTGAGTTGCTAGGATTACAGGCGTGAGCTGTGGGCACCTGGCTCTAAGAGAGTTTTGTATCTCACAATCCATCTCCCAAAGATTGGACCCTCATGGAAACTGGAAATGTGTTTTTCCACTGGGCCACTGTCGCCTCCCTGGCCCACCATCTCCAGAACTCTGGCGGAGGCAAGCAGTTTTCCGTCACACTCATTAGACGGGGAGCCTGATCCTCATCCATTGCGAGGAATCCGTCACTGGTCTGTGATCCCCGCTTGTGCTCTGGGCATCTCAGACTTAGCACCTCCCCAGTCTGCCCTCTTCACATTAGCATGGCTGCCTGTCGCTTTCAGCCCTGCCCTTGTGGAATGTCAGCATTCTCATGGATAGCCCCCCTTCTTGCTTCCATTTTCTCACCTCTCATCTCCGACTCTGACACAGCATTTCTCTGTCCCCTTCGAGGAGACTGCCATCCCTCGCGCAGACACACTGGCTCTCCTCCTTCCCGCTGTGGGTGGGCATGGCAGATGTGTCACCAGTGCCCCCCTGCTGTCCTCTTCTGTGGCCATTGCTAATGCTGTCTTGGGCACCTCTGCGCTCTAAGCTGTCCACTTCTCTAGGACCTAGCTGGCCCCACCATCTGCTCTGGTTCCACACCTTCTTTCAACCTGTCCAGCACAATGGAGGAAGACCTAAGGCTCCTGCTGACACCCAAAGTGCCTGTTTATTGCTGGCCTTACTGACTTCCCTCCGCCCAGCCTTCCTGGCCCTCTTCCATGGTCACCTAGCTCCTGAATGCCCTTGGTCCTTTCTTACCTTCCCATCTCACACATTGCCCTCAAAAGCCCAGACTGACGTGATCAGAGGGCAGCCAGATGTCCCTGTTTGCAGAGCCTGTCCTCATCCTGGTAATTGTGTCCTCAGCCGCACTGCGTCTCTGTGCCTGTCCTTGGCCTGGGAAGGCTGGCCTAGGGCTCCAGACCTCTGGCCTGCAATCACCTTGCGCCACCTTTCTTTCCTCTCCCTCTCCTTGCAAAATGCATCTCTGTGTTTCATTAATTCATTGTGGGTACTGAGAGCTTAAAGCTTTTTAACATCGCCAGCAAATACATGTAAATTTATGCATTTATGCAAACGAATATGAAAATATGCCTTGAGATTTTCTTGGGGAAAGTCTGCTCCCTCTGAATTGCTCCCCTTGTAAGCAACATTGCTTCGTAATTTTCTGTCCCTTCAGCTTATTGCTCCCTTCGTACCTGCCCACGCTCAGCTCCGGGTCCGGCTCGGCGCCCCCTTGCCTGTGCACACTCTCTGCCATGGCTCAGCATGGTGGTTTTCTCCCTGCTGTCTGTGTAGGGTTCTGAGTACACGTATGAAGGCTAAAATGGTTAGAAAATTGCCTGCCTCTCCCGGGGCTTAATTTACATTTCTCTTGTCAAGTCTGACCTTCAGAACTTTAGCTCACTTTCTCAAATACTAACTGCCTCTCCAGTCACCATTGCTTTTTTAACAATGCTAACACACATTTGCATTTTTATGTAAACCAAAGATCTCCACTGTTCTGGTGGTCTGGCACATGCTGCCACTTGTACCCCCTAGAAGTTTGTGATTACTCTCTGCAGGAGAAGCTGGGACTCCTGTCTGTTCTCTGCAGCACACACACACACACACACACACACACACACACCTCTCACTCCGAGCATCATGGTGGCCACAGGTCCCCTAACTCTATAGACAGCACACACACACACACACACACACACACACACACTCTCTCTCTCTCTCTCTCCCCTCACTCTGAGCATCATGGTGGCCACAGGTCCCCTAACTCTATAGACAGCACACACACACACACACACACACACACACACACACTCCCCTCACTCCGAGCATCATGGTGGCCACAGGTCCCCTAACTCTATCCATCTACAGTTTTGTCCATGACCCCGATCTGCCTCATGACTGTTTCTTTCCCTTAGACCTTGGTCTGGTCTCTCTCTGGTGCATGTTCTTCAAATTACTAGCCTGGAACTTCTGGCCTAGGCTTGGCACAGGCCTCCTGGCTGCCCTTGCCTGGGTTCCAAGCAGCGGTCAGGAGCTCATCTTGTTTCGACCTTTCTCTGACATGTCTTCCTGCGGCCCTGCCTCTCCTCCCTGAACTTGGCCTGGTGAGAACACAATGATGTTCTCCCAGCTCCTGCCTACCTCTGGGGCTCACATCCAGTCTGCTTCCTGTGATAGCAGATGGGGCCTTCTGTGAGCCAACAAGAGATTTAGTTCTTGTGTTGACTTTGTCTCGACGACATACTGGTGCTAATATTGTCCTCATTTATATGGGTGGGGAAACTGAGGCATAGCAAGGGAAAGTAATTACCTCAAGGTGAAAAGCCAGTGAATGATAGTGCCAGGATTCTAGCCCAGGCCAATCTGGAGCCTCAGCCTGGCCCCAGGGTGGAGTGGGATCTGGGAGGCAAATGGGGCAGAATGCAGGCCAGGGAACATCACTTACCTGGTACCAGGAAAGACAATGACTAAACAGTGACCGCAAGAATCGGAACCAAAAATCTCAAGGGCTGTGGCTCTTAATCTGTCTCTAGTCCAGAGAGTTTCCTAAATATATCAGAAGTGCTGAGAAAGGACTTGTGAGTCTGATGTTCCTACTCATTTCTATAGGCAAGCCTTTCGAAGCAGCCGTCATCACTGGGCCTAGTTGCTGCCAATGTGTGTGGCAGGCAAGGCCCACTGCTGGCCAGTCCCTAGCTCCTCAGCCCCATGCTGGATGAAGTGCTTGCTCCTTCAGAAAGGAAAGTGCCTGGCAATTATCAGGAGCTCAGATGTCTTGAGAAGCTCTAAGACAGAAACAGAAAACTCTCCCGGTGCGATTTTCCTATTTGATCTTTTGTCTCATATGTTCCCCCTTGGGGATGAACAAGAAATACTTCTCTGAATAATTCATAACCCCCAAGGTGGAATAAAGCCTGGGCACATGGAGTTGATTATACCTCTTGTAATGCTCTAGCAAAAGCTTGGAGATCTGAAAAGCTCTTAATAAATTCTTACAATACAGAGACCAAAATGAAAAGCCAGGTAATATTTTTCATCAAACAGATCAATGTTTGGATACTAGGTGAAATTATTTATGAAGCCACATTGAGCTACAGCATTTTCTTAAAAGGAGGTTGAAAAAAAACTAAGCAGCTATAATTGTTAGCTACTCAGTTTAGGTTGGGTTTATTTGCAAAACTGAAAGTGACTATCTTTGGTGTTCTGCTAGGTTTACTCCATGAATCATTTGGTTCTCACACAGCTCACCAGAGTAACAGCCCAGTTCACAGAAACACCAAGGCTCCTGGAGATAAGTGACAAGCCCAAGTTCAAGTCCAGATCTAGCTCTTAGGCCCACATACCTTCCACAGTGCCTGATTCTTAGTGTATCAGTATTCTGCTGAAAACTAGTAGCTATTGGCCAGCCCCACCAACGTGTTGCCACATTGGTGAGAAATGGCAAGAAAATGAAGGCTTTGGGACCTGCTTAGTTACAAATGACATCCTCTCAGTCTTTGACCACATTCACAGCCTACCGAGATCAATGTCTTTCCCCCTGCAAAAAGGACAACGAGGTGCAGAGAGCTTATGGGTCTTTCCCCAGGGAAGAGGGAGTGAGTGACATCCCTAGAGTCAGGTCTCTGTCCCCAGACTTCTCATCCACCTTAGCTTTCCATCGCACACCACTGCCTGATTATGAGCACTGAGCTCCCAAGGAGCCGCCAACTCAAAGGGCGCCTCAGTGTTTTCACAAGGCTTCTCTTCCTGTCATCTGCTAAATCAGAGCTGTCCCACTGCTAAGAATAAAACAAGTTTGGAACCCAAGCCTTACACACAAGGCACAGAGAAGGCAGCACAGCTTTTCATCAGCCCCACAGGGGCTTGATGGACAGACCTCCAGAGTGACTGTCTGTTGCCTACCTGACTGATGCTAAAGTAGTTGGTGGCCAATTCTGGGGCCTCTCAAAGATGGGCCATACATGGGGTGAGGAGCATCAGAGCACTCTGCCTTGTACAATCTGGGTACCCAGAAAAGGGAAATGTGCAGCCAGTGTGGGAACTGGCCTAGAGTTCTTCACTTCCCAGTGCCACAGCCCCTCCTTTCCCAGTGAGCTGCCCCCTACTGGCCTGTGGACCTGAAGAACCACCATTGTCTCAGGCTCGTCAAGGAAAAGGCACCCCAGGTGTAAGTGTTCTGACTTTTGAATCAAAGTCTTAGGGGGTGGATACTCCTCCCTCAAGGTGGCTGCTGCAAGCAATGCAGAAACCAAGATGACAACGACAGTGCCCAGGACTATAAGAATGTCCTTATGCACCCTGGAGATCCTCAACTGTCAACATCCACAAAGCCTTTGATAAACTAGGCTGCTTTCACAGAGGGCCTGGGCCCGGACCATCCCATGGTACTTGGAACCTGGTACTTGACCTTTGGAAACCAAGGGTTTAGGGGGGCCAAGACACCTGCTACTTCCAAGGGGAGCCCAAATTCCAGAGAGGGGGCGGGCATCTAGGCTCAGGCCCAGACTCACCAGTCGCTGCATGCTCTTCACGTGGGTGGGGCTGATGGATAAGGCTTCTTCATACCACCGCCGGGCTTCATCGAAGTTTCCTCGGAGCTCAGCCACCTGGCCCCGCATGTACAGGACGTTGTGGGACATGGGGAAGAGGTTGGCAGCTTCTTGGGTGCAGGCTGTGGCTTCTGCGGGCTTTCCAATGCCGATGTAGACCTCAGCTGTGGGAAGAGAGCAGAGATCAGATGCAGTGCTGGTTCCCTCCTGTCCTGGGTCCTGTGAGCAGCTGTTACTCTGCTTGGGGACCTTTGCATTTCCCCCCATGGGCATCTGGCAAGGCCCAGAGCCAGCTGGTCCCCTACCCTTGTGGATGGAGGCCAATGGTCTCCTGTGCCCAGTCCTGCTCAGGGACTCAGTCGCTCTGGCATTGGGCCTTGCAGGGTAGCCATATGTCAGCACCCAGCAGAGGAGAGTGAGGTCTTGCTTACAGCCTCTGAGGACACCGCCACAGGGGACCACCTCGGGCACTTCAGCATCTGGACAGAGGCAGTCCTGGCTCTGCCCTCAGCTCCGATCGCTACAGAGAAAGGACTGGCAGGAGCATAGGGTCAGGCAGGCCTGAGGCGCACAGCCCTCACAGGAACACAGCTCTACCTTCTGGCCTCCTCTCCTGAGGCCCAAAGCATAGCCAAGGCACTGGGCCATGCACACATTTGAAATAAAATGGCTGCTCCACCAGACTCAACCCCCTCTGGAGAAAGCTAGTGCACCCTGGAGATCCTCCACTGTCAATATCCATAAAGCCTTTGAGAGAGCAGGCTGCTTTCAGAACAAGCAGGAAAATGACCATTCTGCCAGACTCTGGCCTCAACTTTCTTACCTCTGTGTAGAGAATCACCATCATCATGGCCTCTCATGCATTTCCAAGTCCCTAGCGTGTGTCCACTCATGTGTCTGTGTAGGAACACTGGGTCTTGCCCCTAGGTCTCTTCTCCCAAGGTCTTGTCTGAGCCTGGAACCATTTTTCTCCTTGGCTGACCAGAGGCTTCAAAGACACTGCAGCCTCTCTCCCCCCCTTTCTTTCCACAGCAGCCACATCCGCTGTTCCTGTGGCCCAGCGCTTTCTTCAGTGGCTGCTCTGCCTGGGCTCTGTCATCCTGCTACCTTCAGGAAAGCCCCTACTTGCCTCAGCCTCTGGTTTCATCCCTTATCTATCTCCAAGTTATTTGCATGGATATAGGAACTAATATATTCATTATACTACACAGAGGCACCCAGAAAGGGAAATGTTAAACTGGGCATGGTGGTCTACCCCTATAATCCCAGCAAGATCAGCCTGAACTTCATAGTGAGATCCTGTCTTAAAAAAGAAACAGCTGGGCTCCGGTAGCTCACACCTGTAATCCTAGCTACTCGGGAGGATGAGAGCTAAGGATCACGGTTCAAAGCCAGCCTGCAGCCCAGAGTTCAAGCCCCAGGACTGACCAAAAAAAACCCAAACACACAAACAAAACAATAACAGCAATAATAAAAAGAGAGAAATGCCAAAAAAAAAAGAAGGGGGAAAAAGGGTAAGTTCACTATTTTTTTTCATACTCAGAAGTTGCTGGATCACAGCAGACCCTCCCATCACTCCTCCCCTCCCCCCTCCTAAGGCCTTGGTGCTTCTGTCTGTGGGCCCTGGGGCTGTGAGGATGAGGTCCACCTCTCCCCTTCACCCCTTCCTCTCAGTTCCACCTGCTGAACCCTCCCTGAGCAGCCTGTTGGCCCTGCCCCTCCCCCACACCTTGGACCCCTACTTCCTTTCCCTCCTTGTTCTTTGGTCAATCCTGGGGATTGAACTCAGGGCCTGGGCACAGTCCTTGAGCTTTAGGCTATCACGCTATCACTCCCACATGCCTGGTGATTGTAGACACACCAGACTGAGAAAGTGCGCCTTATCCTGGCACAGCCCTGGGCCTTCTATCTGTCCTTCTAGCCTATCATCCAGTCTCTTCCATGGTGCGAGCATCGGAGGTGACACACTGGCACAGGGACTTACAGAAAACAATCGTGGAAACCTGGGCAGTTCACACACAACTTCCTGAGCTCTAGGGTGGTGAATGCCAGGCCACACCTGCCTCATCTTCTCAGGAGACTTGACTCAACGGGGAAACACAGGGGACCTATGGGAATGAAGGAGGCACTTCCGTCCTCAGTCTGGATCAGGAAAAACCCTCAAAAAGACACCATCAGGGCTGCCTGGTGTCTTCAGTAACATAATTCCCTTCAAGCACTTGCCATGTGGGGTGAATGTGTGCTTTGGGCTACCCTTGACCCCTGAGCATGGTGGCACAGGATGTCTCTTTCATTGTCTTCTTGGCTCTGACTTGCTTCCATTTTAGGGGGCAAGACTGTGGACATGTGCAGGATCCCCAGACCTGGAGCTATATGTGGTGGTGAGGTACTGAGCCTTCCCAGTGAGGTCATGGAGGAAGCTCAGTGTGGGGGACAGAGGACTAATAAGAGGCCTTAACCATTTCACAACAGTGTCCCTAAGTCCTGTTTCACGAGGGCCCTCAGTGAGACCAAATGGATGCCAGGTACCTTATTCATCATCGTATCATTATAAACATCAGGCCACTTGTGACCGTTCCTCTAAAGGAGGAAGTGGAAGACAGACAGACCTAGGCCAGACAATAAGGGAGGGGGAAAAGGTCTGCTCAGCGTCCTGGAGGCTGGGGGAGGGGCAGCACTGACAGGGCCTGTGCTCCAGAGGCAGATGTGGCAGCCAAATGTTTGGCTGGGGGCTGCTCCCATCTTAAGCTCAAATGCAAGAGCCCAGACACTGCTAAGGGTCTGGATCCGAAGGGTCCCCTCAAAGGCACACGTGTTGAAGGCGTGGTTCCCAGCTGCTGGCATTACTGCCAGGTGAGTGGATCACGGTATCAAGTTCATACTGAAGGGGCTCTGAGGGGGTGGCCCCTGGGTGGAGGAAGTCCTCACTGGGGTGTCCTCAGACCCTTCCTCCTCTCTGACCAGACTGCTCCACCACATGCTCTGGGCCATGGCGCTTTAACTCACTGCAGCCTAAAAGAGATGGTGCCAATTGCTTATGGACTGAAACCTCTGAAAGTGTGAGCCAAACTAAATCTTTCCTCCCTTTGAGCGACCTCAGGCATTTGGTCATGACAACAGAAAAGTGACTGACACAGGCACAATGGCCTGAAGTGATTTTTCAGGAATCTGACACATGCAGGTCCAAACAGGACTCTGGATTCTCTTCTTCCCTAACTTGGGAATAATAGCACCTCTGGTCACCCATGGACTCAAGCCTAGCACCAATATTCTTCCTGGATTCCTCTTTTCCTTCACTCCTTAGGTCTCACTCATCAACCAGACCAATGGCTCTTCCTTGAATGGGATATCAGATATACCCTTCCTGCACTTACTGTCACCTGGACCAAGGTCTATCACTGTCTTCCTGTCCCTCAGTCCTGCCTTTGCTGCCTTATCTCCATTCCCACATTTAGCAGGAGGGAGCTTTGTGTGTGTGTGTTTGGGGGGGGGCGGGATGGATGCTGGGGTTGAACTCAGGACCTGGGTGATGTTCCTTAGCTTTTTTGCTCAAGGCTAGCACTCCACCACTTGAGTTAGCTCCGTGTTCAGCTTTTTTTCGTAGTTATTTGGAGATAAGAATCTCACAAACTTTGTTGCCCAAGTTGGCTTTGAACCATGATGATCAGGTCTCAGCCTCCTGATAACTAGGATTACAGGCACCTAGCTTGAGCTTTCCTTTTTAATTTGTAACCATGCATCAAACAAATTTGCCTTGTGTCTAGGATAGGTATTATAAATATTTCTCCCATTTTAATTTTATGCTTTTTGTCAGTCTTTTCTCCCAAAAGCTTAAAAATTTTTATTCATCTAGCTTTTCTTATGGCACCTGGGAATCCCATGATAGCTTAACAGTAACTGCCCAATCCTTGCTTTTCCTGAAGTGCTAAGTATCTCATGGTACCATTTGTGCCATGTCTTGTAAAGAATGGCAGAGGGAGGGGCTTCCTTCTCCCCTGTCAAAGAGCAGAAGCTAGGGGGACCATAGCACAGCACAGGGGTGCTGCACCCCAACCCAGACCCTGTAAAACATGCACTTCTCTTCAGGCCATAAGCCTCACTGTCAGCCATCAGAACCTCGAACAACCATACTAACTGAGCCAGAGCCCTTCCAAGCCAGTCAGCCTCTGGGTACCCATCTCTGAAGTCCTACGTTGGGATGGCAGCTAAAAATGCTTTGGCAGTAGGTGGTTAATTTCTGCTTGTTACTTACTAATAATTATAGCTTTCACTTTGGCACCTCTCACAGCCGAAACCAGTGGCTATTCTTAGATGTGCAAGATCAGATTTTCTGATTTCTGCTGGGAATTTAGATGCTCTCCCGAATTCTCCCAAATTCCTTGGTTCTGGCCTTGCCTGTCCTCCTTTCCCTTCCCTTGTCCCTGGCTCTTCCCAGGCTCCAGGACACTGCATCCATAGGGTTGAGGGGCAGCCCTGGGGCTGGCCTACCAGAAGGAGATGCCAGACACGTAGCATGTGAGCCACAGCAAGGGCGCACCTGTGGGATGAAATGCAGTTCTGCCAGCTCCGCCCTCCAGCCTCTTCTTCCCGGAAGGGTTTGGTGAATGGTATACAGCTTGCAGATAGCTGACACTGAGCGAGCACCGTGTCTTCACGTGTTTCATCTTCATTATAACCGAGCAGGGCACAGACACCCTTATTTACCCCCCCCCACCCGCATGAAGCAAGCGAAGCACAGCTGGCACGTCATTTGCCTGAGGTTGCATGGCTTGCGTGTTGAGAAACTTGATTTCAGAGCCAACCAGTGTGGTCCAGAACCCTTCTCTAATCCTCATTTCATACTCTTGACCTTACTAATACACTACCTCCAAGCATTTGGTCAGTGCCAGGCTCTAGCTCAGTGGTCATGGAGACAGAAGCAGTCCCTGCCTTCCTAGAGTTACAGGTACATCACAAAACTATTATAGACGTCTGGGTGCCAAGAGCCATCACAGGCTCTCACCACACTCAGTTCACTGAAAAACAAGTGAGAGAAGGGCTGCAAATGCCACAGAAACACCCTGACCTGGGGGTCGGGCCTTCATCAGTTTTCTCCAAAGCTGCCAAGTTGATGGAGTGTGGCAGTCTTGACGATGGGCACACAGAGCAGATGGCACCTGGTTCCTGTGAACTGTCAATGAGGTCACCTTTATTTTTCCTCTTAGTACTCTGAGAACAGAGCTCAAGGCACACATGGCATCTGGCAGTTGAATGGAATCTGTCTGTTTTCTTCTGAATTTACCTCTTTAAAGAGTACATGAATATGTGACAGAATTCTAATCTTGATTCCACCGTCACCACTTTGAAGGAGTCCATGTAGCACGCATTCGAAGATGCTACTTGGCCTTATCCATTCATGCTGCCAGCAGAGCTCACCACGTGTGCATAGTACCTCTGCCAGAGTCTTAAGACAAACGTAGCATTTTCAGTTAGCACTGCCGAATAGTAAAGTAATGAGATCTTTATTCTGTTCTAGAGACCGTAACAATGAGAGAGCTTCTAGGATGATGTAAAAGATCAAGGGTAACTATAAAAAGTTCCTCCCCAGGAGGATTGCAATTTGAGGACAGCCAAGGCAAGAAGACTCCTTCTCAAAGAGCTGTGTGTGTGGTGATGTGTACCTGTCAATCCCATCTAAGTGGGAGGCTGTGATTGGGAGGTTTGCGGTTCCTGCTTGGGCAAGAAAGTTCACCAAGACTCCATCTCAAAGGAAGAGATAGAGTAGTGAATGCTTATCATCCTAGCTACAGTAGAAGGTATAAAATAGGAGGATCACAGTCCAGGCCCAGGCAGAAGGTGAGACCCTATCACAAAATAATCAGTGCAAAAAGAAAAATAAATAAAAGGGGGATTTGAGGTGTGGCTCAGTAGTGGAACTCTGACATAGCAAGCATGAAGCCCTGAGTTCCAACTCCAGTACTACAACCCCCCCCAAACAAAACAAAACAAAAATCTTCCCTAACATTCATGTCAAGCCATGCAAAGAGGGGTAAAGTGTCTGGGTAGCTGTATGAGAGGTAGGGGCTACCAGGCAAAGCTCTCTGGGCGTGTGGCCCTTGGATCATCCCATTCTCCAGGAAGCAAGCAGGAGAAGCAGCAGCTGTTTTATAACAGTGGTCAGCAACAGGTCTACCTGGAAGCATGCTCCTCTGTCTCTCAAGCTTTACACTGTAGCCTTGGAAAACTCAAGCCTGGGGTGAAAGCCTGCCCTGCTCTCCACCAGCCCTGTGTGTTCCACTGGGCTTCCTGGGCCTGCACACCAAACCTCACTCTTTCCCTGTCTGGCCCTCAGGGTCACTACCTCATGGATGTGATGGAACAGTACCGTGTCAGAATTCTATGTGGTGAATGGGCAGAGAGCCGGGGAGAAGGTCTTCCTGCGGAGCCCCAGCTCTTCAAGGCCCAAGGCTGGGGAGCGTGTGCCGTGGGGAACAATAGCACAAGCATGAATCAGCCCTCTTTTGTACTTCTGCTCTGAAGAATATAATTTGTTAATTGATGCTAGTTGTTATGGCTCAATTAAAGATGTCAATACAGAAAATGCTGACTGGGCTATGCTTTGTGATTCAGAGCCAGGTAAATCTAGCCATGCTGTCGTGTGCACAGGTCTGCCAATGGTGGTACACAAGGGTGAGCATCACACGACTGGCATTGGCAATAAACAGACAGAAGACTGGTGAGCAACACGCCCTTCTCAGCCACATAGGCCTTGGGAGGCTCATCCAGGTCATGTGGATGTGTGATTAAGCCTGAGGGACAAATGCTACCTTTCACACAGAAATAGAAACCTGCAAGTACGTTGGCAGCCATCCTCCGGGAGCCTGGGTAGGGTGGGATTCTCCATGCACAGAGGCTGAGTGCTGGGATTTCCAGCTGTGAGGCAGCAATCGCTGAGCCAGCTGACAGCCACATGAAACCAGGACAAGGGCGACTGTCCCTGCTCCGGGCTGGCTTCCCAATCAATGGCAGCTGCTACAGCCTCCCTCTCTGTGGGTGACCAGAGGTGCCAGCCCAGAGAAGTGGAGGGACTAAACACACTGCTCTGCCCTGGTCCCGATCGAGACATCTGAGCCATCAATGCGCCAACCCCCCCTCCCCCAGTCCCCTCTCCTGGTGACTCTGTGATTTGACTGCCAGGATGTACTAAGCATTGTGCTCACTGACCTATGAAGCAGGTGCTATTCTAACTCCACCACGCAGATGAAGAAACTGAGGTAAAGACAAAACTCAGCTCTAATCTGCTGGGATTTCACTCAAGTTACCCACAAAGTCTGAAGGGGTGTAGCACTGTATGCTATGTGACAAACTCTCTCGGCGTCCTAAGCCTGATTCAATTTGCCTGTTTTGGGCCAGGTGTAGGCTCTGGAAGGGATGGAGAGATGCAGAGTGACTCAGGGTGTCTGTATAGAAACAGTACCAGCTTGGTGCTTGACTTCAAGACCTTGTTCTCCTGACAGAGGAGGGGTCCTGGGCTCGCTGAGCGCCTGTGGTAGTTGGGCCAAAGCGCCATGGAGGAGGGGTTAGAGGGGGCAGAGAAGTACCTGCATGGAGCCAGATCTGTGCCAGGGTCATCCAGGGGTGCAGTGGGCCCTGTTTAGGGGCGCTGCTCTGCAGAGACGAGGCCACTTCCGACAGTGCCTGCTCCACTCTTGAGGCTGCTACTGACGTGGCATGGATGGAGCCTGTGGGGGGGGTTGAGAAGATGGCATCAGGGGTGAAAGGGTGGAGCACCAACCACACACCAGACAAAGGACCCCACCCCCATACACAGACACGAGTGCGGACATACACACACCCCTTCCCCAGGATGTTTCTGAGTTATTGTCCATAAAGAAATGGGGACAATCATTACGGTCTGGGACCTCTCTCCCATCCTGTTGCTCAGCTGTTCTTTAGTCAACACACAGGGCACATGCTACGCTAAGCGCCCTCCAGGAGCTCAGCGGCAGTGTGAGAGCAGGGCGGGGCGGTCAGCTAGACACATAGCGAGTGGGCAAGTGTTAACACACACAGAGAAGAAGGGCTACAAAGGGATGTTCCAAAGCACCCACTAAGGGCTGAAACTTAGCCGTCATACGGGAGAGGGCAGGGCAGGACCACACTTGCTTCCTGGGGTAGTGTTTGGAGAAGATGCCCAGCCATTCTACAGACAAACCCGACTTCCCTGTCTCATCAGAGCTGCCTGGCCTTCACGAGTGGACAGCCATAACTCTGGACTGGCATACAAACTACAGAGAGAGCACACTTCTGCCCTGACTATAGCACATGTCTGTGCTTAAGTCTAGCAGTAAATGAGTGGAGGATGGTTTTTACGCCAAAGCTGCTTAGACCGCCACCTAACTGTTCTATAAAACCTGAGAGACTAAGGAAAGAGGGCCACTGAACACATTCACCAGGCAAAGCATAGACGTGGTCCAATAGTCAAAATGGAATGGTGGCCCCTGGGGACCGTGAGGGGGGGAGACCACCTCCTTAAATGGACCCCATCCCCTACCTCCTTCCAACATTCACTCCTGCAGGTGCGGTTTCAGAAATCTGAAACTGTTCATACTCTGACCTGAAGCAATTCTGAATTTATAATTTGTCAGAAAGTTTGATAGGGAGAAAACCATTTCAACATGGTTTATGGCAACTTGTCAAGGTCTCATGAGGTTGAAAACAATGCTAATATGTAAATACTGGCTATGCAAATAAGCTGAGCTGGCTAGACTCTAGATAATACAGAATTGTGATTATAAACATAATTGTAGCTGGGATTTTGAGTGCACCATAAAGGAACTCCAAGCTGGGTGGATGTAGTAGTACACACCTCTAATTCCAGCACTCAGGAGGCGTAGGCAAGAGGATTGTGAGTTCAAGGCCCATTTGGATTACATACTGAGTTCTAGGCCATTCTGGATACAGAGTGAAACCCTGTCATGCATACAAAAAACCTTTACAGTAACAACTGGCTACTGGTAGCCATTTCATTATTTCAACACAATAGTTACATAGTTTCCTATAAATACACTCAAAACTTTAGTGGAGGTTTGGTGGATGGAAGGCAAGGCATTCTACCTTCTGAGGACATCCACAGGCAGACTGGACACCTGGGAGGAGTGCTAGAGAGGGAAAGGTGCTAGCCAAGAAGAGAAAAATGTAGCCAAACTAAAAAGACCCTAACTGATGACATTATGACATGGGAGGGGCCTCTGAAGTTCAGCTATCTACTTTGTTTGGACAAAGTATGCCTAACTCTATTCAAAACGATTAAACTACTGTAAACAATTTTGGTCTTTTTTTTTTTTTTTACAGGAAATCCTATCTTTAACATAAAAAGGACCTGAGGCAGTTTCCCTGGCAAAGATGAATGAAATGAATAATCTGGAAGTTTGTGGTTGCTACTCTGTGCCGTGACCACCAAGCTGGTGTGGCTTCTCATTGGCTACCCTGAACCAGGGCTCTCACCCCTGACTTCATGTGGCAGATACGTGGGGATTTAAAAACTCATGATGTCATAGCTATACTCCAGACTAAATGAGGCATAGCCCAAGGAACAGGGCTGGGCACGTACTTATGGATCATCCCAAGTGATTCATATAAGCAGTTAAGATGGAGAACCTGCAGAGATGGGCAGAAGTGGATAGGACTCATGGTGAAGAGAAGCTGGACACAGACTGTGGCCTGAGCCCTTCTACTTGCTATAACCTGATGGTCATCTGGAGAATAAGGTTCCAAGAACAAGGCTCCTTGTTTTCTGAGAGAGTGGTTCTCAGTTGTCTTGGTCTCACAGAACCCCTTCTGGATTCTGTAAAATTATTAAAGACCATGAAAAGATTTATATGGCTTTTATCTATTGGCATTTACCTCATTAGAAACTAAAGTGAGATGTGTTTAAAATATTCCCTTGTTAGATTCTTTTATAAATTGTATCAAATTACTGCCATAGAAAAAATCCTACTCATGTTCCACCAGATCTTTTGCTACAAGGATCTGTGGCTTTTAGAGGGGCTGATTTTGCTTCGTGGAGCCATTATTTTGTTTGGCCCACAAAGGAACTAATCAGAACTCCTGCCAAAGTTCTTCCTCTTTGTAACATTTATATATGATTAAACTAATTAACTTGGAGTATAGTAATGCATTTATTATGAATGAAGTTGGGTAAATGGTGGTGGTGATGATGATGATGACGATGGTACCTATAATGGTGATAGTCATCAGGTTTGGGGAACAAATTATGTTTTGGGCCCTGTCATTAGCTTTTTGTATAGACTGTTGAAATAATCCCACGAGGCAGGTAGCGATGTCATCTGCATTCATTAGATGACAAAACCACGACTTAATGAGGTTCAGTAACAGCCTACAGTCCTACATCCATTCCAAGATAAAACCAGGATTCAAACCCTGGTCTGAGTGCTGTGAGCCTCCATCTATCCCTGGGCTACGCCAGGCCTCAGGTTCTTGGTGCTTCCATGTGGGCGTCTTTATCCCTGTACAGACCACAGGCTTTACAGTTGATATAACTGTCCTTCTTACTAGACTGTGTAATGTTAGAGAACAGGTATATGTCATCTGCTTAAGGATTTTCAGAGACTAACAATGCCAGGCCCATCCTAGATCTCAGGTCATATTTTGTGGAATGTGGATGGATGAATGAATGAATGAACCATATCAAGAGCCACAACCTTACAGAGCAATGGAAAGAGAGTAGTCCCTCTTTAGGGTATGTGTCTGTGTGCTCTAGACCTCTTCCCTAGCCAAGGATGAAAGGTCAAAGCTTTCATCACCTCAGAGATCTTTCTAGTATGGCACTGCTGCTGGACTGAAAATGACAGATCTCGGTTCAAATTAAACACTGGCATTGTGACTTTCTTCTCTCTGACATAACCAGCCAATTAAACAAAAAGAATTGTGTTTTATCAGAAATACAGTTTTATTTCCTTCTTAGCTAATTTCTTACTACAGAAAGCCTTCTTGTTCTGAACTGCAGACAGATACAGCATTATAGTAGAGTCATAGTAGCAGCTAACAGTAACAGTAAACGTATGCAGTAACTGCTGGCATCTACAATTCTCAGCAACAGCACAATAAATAAAAAATGTAGCCACTGCATTAGAATTTGGAGGACTGAAAACATACATGACCACATGTACCTTCTTGTTCCTTAAGTCTGAAATGGTAAGTGTCAGTATAGATTCTAGATTTTGATTTGTGTAGGTAAACAAGAAAATGCTAGTTCTAACCTATGTATGCTATCTTTCTTCCTCACTGAAGCAAATGCAGTCTTGCACTGTGCATGGCCTAGAGTGGAAATGAACACACTGGGGCTTGAAAAGGGAATCAGAAGGAAGACTAGAGGATATAATCCCAAACTGAAATCCAAGACTCTGCAGAAGTAAGTTTCCAGATAATCAGGTTCAACAGACAGGCAACCTGCCAGGACTGCGGACATCTCTTATTTATCAAACTAACTTGAGAAGTGCTTATCACTGCTCGACCTTGGGGGCAGGCAGCTGTGTGGCCACAGCCGTATCCCACACCAAAGAGATAATGTGCCCCTTCCTTCAGAACTCAGAGGCTTGGAAAAGCCACTGGGAAACAAAATGACCTGAGCATGAGAACACCTCTCAAAATCTGGCCCAGGGTCCGTGATCTCCCTGTACAAGGGGTTCAGGGGCTGAAATGATGTGAATTTCCTCAGCCAGGGCTTCCTCTGCTCTCCTACTTAGACCCTAATGAGAAAAGACTGTTAATCAGTGGATACAAAGGCAAAGTGCTACTTGAGGAATGGTTCCAAGCTTGAATCCACAATCTTCCTGCTTGCTGTTCCTCCTTCCCTCCCTTCTTTCCTTCCTCCCTCAGTGAAAGGAACCGAACCCAGGGCATGACACTTGGGAGGCAAGCATTTTAGCACTTGAGCAATGCCTCCAGCTGCGGGATTTTGCAGGTCCCCTCCTGGACCACCCTGCGTGTGGCATCAGGCGCGGTGGTGGAAAGACATTTCTCCACTGACCTCAGGGCACTGTGAAGTCACGTTCTGCAGCCATGAGTGTGACACGAACACTCTCACTGCTTGGCAGCTGAAACTTTGCCAGAACTCTTTTTCCAGCTATGGAAAGAGACCTCTGTGGTGGATTTCCCCCCCCCGCCCCCTCAAACGGAACAATTACCTATGGGCCCTATTTTACCACCCAAGCTTATCATCATAAGGGATCCCACAGCCAATCATCTTAGGTAAGCAAAAGGCCCAATAATGAAGGAGTTCAGTCATTATGTAGGACTGCCTGGTCCCAGCTGTCTTTTTCTATCTGGTGGTATCAGGCAGGGGATAGTCAACTGGAGTCCTTTGTCCCCTCACATCTGGGCATGGAGAAGGTGAACTAGATATCAGCTGGAATGCTTCCTACCTGGTGGGTGACCTGTAGCAGAGTTGGGGGTTAGATTGTGTGTAAAAGGAGCCACATGTGACGTGGGTTCTTAGGATTCTGGGCAGGTTTTTTGAGTCCCAGCCCTGGAGGTCTAGCTCAGGTGCCTCCTGAGTGAATCTGGGGAATGATGAAGCACATGTGGTCCTGCCCCAAGTCCCACTTCCACCCGTCACCCACATTCTTCCATGCGGCTGCAGCAGATGCCTGCCCTCCTCAGGTTTTGTTTTTCCTTAAAAGAACCCGAGCCAGGGTGGTGTCAGGCATGCGGAAATGAC